CAACAATCATTAGAGGTGAATAACAAGCATCCATTCAGATTTTGCACTTATCAGCTGGTCTAACTTCTAAATTGAAGGTAACTTCTAAATTGTAGGTAACTAGATAGGGAGCTAACTTGCAAAAGCTAAGCGGCTGAGAGAATGTGAATTATCCAGAATGAGAATTAGTGCACATACTAACAGTTCAGTTAACTCAGAGTTTACTCTTTTCGAAACTAGAAATCATAATCAGCCACCGTGTGACGTCAGAGTTTCCAACAAAAGATAATATTTGGCAGAAAGAAAAATCACGAAAGATTCTACGAGTTCTGAGCCTATAACCACTTGGTTGAATTACCATTACGCTCATCCGTCAATGATAAACCTTACTGAAGACATTTTCTTAATTAGTAATGAAAAATAGGATCATCAATAGGTTTGCAAATGAGTGTGAAAAATATAAAACCAAGGTTGACAATGCTTGAAAATAGGACTCGTTTGGGAATATCCTGTAAACAATTTAAAAAGAATAGATTTCACAAAAGATTTCAGTTATTGCTTACTATCCAAATGGAGAAAAAGTTAATGACTAAAATCTCATACACCTTTGATTTCCTGGATATAAATATATAATGTATTAGGAGCACCTATGTGCATTGAAACGCCCCAACTATCGTTGTACATGAAGGGTTGCTTCAAAAAAAAACAACTAATAAGACGATCAAAAACAATAAACATACCCAATTTCTTTACTTTTCATTTTTTTAACTCATGTAAGAGGCAAAATAACAAAGATTGAAAGTTCCCAAAAATAAATAATTTTATGTTTCATGCAAAAAGGAACTTTTGCATTGTAAGGACTCACTCAGAAGACTTGAAACTGAAAGTCATCTTTGCACACCGTATGACATCTTCGAGAAAAGCCAAGATTTTTCAAGCAATACCTCACCTTTGATTAAAAACAAATTTTTTATTTTGAAATCGAGAAAAGATATGGAAAATACATTGACGAGACAAATAGCCTGCTAACAGCCTAATACATACACAATAAAAGATGCATGTTGGATAAGGTCGATATAAAACCCTAATGCTTCATATAGATTCCACTTCAATTATTCAAGAAAAGAAAGTGCTACGCGATATAGATTTATATACAGAAGCGAAAATATAACAACAAAAACAGCAAATTATTCAGAGACTGCCCGCACAAATATAACAACAAAAAACATGCGTTGATAGCTAAGTTACGAAGAACCCCGTACTCGTAAATGATAACATAAAAAAATGCTAACGATATCCATCCTAAAATACCACAAAATCTAGTCCTAAATCCCACTAAAAATAAAATTTAAGAAAACCCCCAACACCCCTTATCAAAAATGGGGAAAAGAAGAGAAGGAAACCAAAAAAAAAAAAAAACGCCAATGTCACGACACCTTAGCATAATTCATATCCACAAGCAGTCTACTAGTGACTCACATGAACATGGAGTGAACTTTAGCGCGCTTATGGTGGGCATCCCGATCGCGTTCCTCATTAGAAGTCTCCATCGTAGAAGACAAGGCCAAAGCCGAGGCGCTACTGCTCTCTCCTCCCTCGGACTGATGCAGAATTCCAAAAGAAAAGTTCCAGGGATTGACAGCCCCACCACCGCCGCGCAGCTCATGGTCCCAATGAACACCACCATCGCCGTCATCGTGCATTGCTCTGACCATATCCTCAAACAATCTAAGCCGATCACCGTCGTGGCGGTCGGGCCCGTCAACAGCAATCGCAAGTGGGTTACTCCCACCAGAATCATCGCCATTTCGCATAATGCGATCAGAGTCATCCTGGTTCTCAAAATCCCCCTCACTCATCATGGGTTTCATCTCACCTTCCTTCTTCAGTTCCTCTTCCCTTTCGTCTTCTTCTGGAACGGTGAAGCACAAGCAGCACCAATTCGTCATACACTTGGACGCAAAGGCAAGGTATTGACACGAACCCTAACTCACGATCCCACACATTTCCAAGTATCCAGTCCCCCTCAAACCAAACAATTTCAAAATTAACCGAAATAAACAAAGCCCAGAGGCAGTGAAACCCTAGAAAGATCAAAACGAACCCCACCAAGGAAAAACAACACCCCGAGAATTGGGCGGCAAATCAAAACAGAAAATACACAAAATCAAGAAGGAAAAATAAATGGGAAACAAGAATTGAAAAACGGGGGACAAAGATAAGGAAGTGAAGAAGAAAAGAAGAGATTTGAATGGATCTGATCGGACCTGAGAGATGCTTCTGTTGTTGCTAGTGGTGATGTAATAATCCCAGAAATCCCAAATTTTAACAACAACGAAGGAAGGAAGGAAGGAAGGAAAGAGAGAGAGAAAGCATGGGGGGTGGGTATTTGGCGAGAAACGGCGTCGTACGGGTTGGAATAAAAAAGAGAAAATAAAAAAAAATGGAAAATAGGGAAAAATTAGAGTGTGCGCGTGTGTTCAGATTTACAAAATCTGGGGCGTGGAGTTTGAAGAACACGCGCCAATAATTCGAACTAGAAATGGGAAAAAGATTGGGGGTTTGAAGGACAGTTTGGCGTGAGGCAGCCGCGTTCCTTGCCACTTCCCCACTCTCCCAAGTCAAACTCATTTCTTCATTGTCCATATCACTTCCATATATTTATAAACATTATTTTAAATATTTATCTTTTTTTTAATACAGTTTTTATTTAATTTAGGAAGATAGTAAAAAAAAAAAATTAAATTAAATTAAATCTAACAAATAAAAAGTAATATAAATTTTCATATTATTCGGAGGTGCTGCTAGGTCAATTAAAAAAGTCGGGTATCATGTAAATTCATTTAATTTTTTTTAGAGAATTCAAACGCAACTAATTGTATTTACAAATCAAACTCTCGTTTGTTTAAAACGCAATATGGGACGTATCAGAGACAGAAGACGAGCACGAGGAAGTGGGGCCCATAAGAAGAGTGATGGAGAAAGGAGTGAGTGAGTGTGTGAGTTGATTTTAAGCATCCCATTTAAGAAACACACTTCATAGGTTGGGGTACACTATAGCCTATACTACTTCCCTCCAACTATACACACTTTTTTTTCTTTATTTCTTTCCATGTTTATATATATATATATATATATATATTTCATTCTCTTACTTATACAATAATATATATAATTATTTAAAAAAACGTTACATTATAATATATCTTAGAAGTGAACGTTCTTTCTATTTTTTTTTAAATAAAAAAAAAAACTATGGGTTGATCTAGTGGTCACTAGAACTCGAGTTTTGAATATTTTGGATATAAAAGGTCAAAGGTTTTGGTGGTCACTTAATTGTCTGTATTCTTCAACAGCAACATGCCGTAGGGTTTTCTTGTTCGTATAAAATATCCGAGATGCGTAAACTAAGCTATGGTTACGTACTCAATGGTTTCCACACTTTTATAAGAAATATTGATATGTAATGGCCCAAAATGGAACAATATCGATTAGCAGTGGGGTTAAACTATTACAAATGGTACTATAGTCAAACACCAGTAGTGTGCCAACAAGGACGTTAGAGATGGTTTGTGAGATTCCACATAGGTTGGAGAGAAACTACTTTTTAAGATATATATTTTAAAACTTCGAGACTAACGACAATATGTAACGGGTCAAAATAGACAAATTATGGAGGTAATTTAATGTGGGAGGGCAAGATTGAGGAAAGGAGGAGAAGGATGTGTTGGGTAATAAATAGACAGCGATAATTAATGAACATTTAAGGAATTAGCAAAAAAGGATTAAGGAACAGAATAATTACGGAACAAGCCACTCTCGCTTTTTTTTCTTTATTTATTATTATTATTATTTTGGCAAAAAAGGGGACAAGTGGGACCCACTGTCCATCCTTTTCAAATACGACGCCCAAAAATTCAATTCCACACTTGTTTCCCTCTCCCTCTCACCCCCATATACCAAATTACAGATATTTATATTGTAATTTTTTTAATAAAAACTATTTTTTTAAAAGAATAATAAATAGTGAAATATTCGATTTCCTTAAAAATAAATAATTAATTTTGCAAATAAAATAGGTGGCAGGGACGAGAAAGGCTTCTCCATCACCGCCCGTTGACATATATAGCCGAAATGGTCGACAATTTCATTTTAAACCCTCCCATTTCTCAATTTTTATTATTCGATAAAATAAATTTGACTTTTATTATTTCCTTTTTTTTTTTTTTTTTTTTAGGTCTCATCAAAATTATTATTATTAGTTAGACTTGCACCGAAATCATACGGAGGTCATGTTTAGCAAATTGGGCTTCGTGATTTCTTCCAGGCCCAAGCCCAACAACACAAACTCGGCCCAAATTCACCGTATGGGCCTCACAATTCAGCCCTGTTTAAAAAATAAAAAAAAAGCCACAACTTTGGAATTGGAATAGTCTCATGAAGTTCCTATTTTTACATGAACGAGTACGAAACTGTTGACATTTAAATTTAGGGAGCAAGTTTATAACCATCGAGAATTTTTTGTAGTACTTTATGCACTTACTTTTTGTTTATATGAGAGATGCGATCTAAATCAAAGTCTATACAAGAGAGCCCGACCTAATGCACCAACTTTTGGAAGACGAGACATGTAACCACCAAGGTTGCTACTCAACAAAGCTAAGGTAAGAGACAAAAACATACACATATTGGTGGCAATGGTGGCGCCTACCATTGAATTGCATTGATAGGCACCTTGAGCCAATGAGCTCTCGACAACATTTCAATTGGATACAAAATCCATGGCACTATTTGTCTTTTGGGTCAACTTTTTTTACAAAGGAAGCATGATATCCAAGTCAAATCACTTTGCATCTTTGAGAAAAAGAATAAGCTTCAAATTTTGCTCCAAAAAGAAGTGTTTTTTTTTTTTTTTTTTTTTTTTTTTTTTTTTTTTTTTTTTTTTTTTTTTT